GGATTCCTTTCCTCCTTCTTTTTCTCCCTCTGCAGCTCCAAGCGCCTGGTGACCCTGGCCCGGGGACTTTCGCCTGCCTTTCTGCGTTTCGGGGGCAAAAGGACCGACTTCCTGCAGTTTCAGAACCTGAAGAACCTGGCGAAAAGCCGCGGGGGTCCGGGTCCGGATTACTATCTCAAAAACTATGAGGATGGTGAGAAACTTGATTACCGTTCTTGCATGTTGGAGGGGAAACTTGGGGAGTGGAAGCAAGCACCCACTGTGTGTGTGTGTGTGTGTGTGTGTGTGTGTGTGTGTGTGTGTGTGTGTGTGTTCACGCACGCGCGCGTGCGGGACAGATTTGGAGGAAAACCTGGTTGAAGCTCTCCTGAAAAACTGGGAGCTTCGGGCAAGGGGATACCGGAGTGTGGGACTCCTGGCGTGGTTCTCCGGATTGTCCTTGTCCTGGCCGCCGGCCTTTGGCTGGGCGGCTAAGTCTTGGAGACCGCGAACCGGTAGCCAAAACTTTTAGTGGGCCAGCCCTAGAGGGAGAAGATGCAGCAGGTTTCTTGAGCAAATTCAGCCAGGTATGTAGATTACTAGAGGGTCAGAGTCGCGTTTCATTCCTAAAATTCTAGGCAAAAGTGCCTTTTTGTTTTTATTTCTTGCCTTCTTGGGATGAGGAAGCCACTTTTTGAAAGCCACTCTAAAGTTTTCTTGAATAATTCTTTTTAGATTGGTCCCCTGTTGAGGAAGGCTTAAAAATCTCCACCATGGGTTCTTCTTCAAGACAGCCTCAACTCATGGACTGTTTCCTGTTTTAAGATGGGATTATAAATGCCAGCCTTCTTTCCTGCCAGGATCAGATGAGTTAAGTGTTGGGAGGGCTTTGAAAACTTGAATTCCTATTCCAGTGTGAGAGGTCAATCTTTTTTGCTTTGAATAGTCTCATTTATACTAGAGAAAACATGAAAATGTTATTTTAAAATTTTTGTTTAGAAGGTTTGGTGTTAGTATCTATGAATTTCCTGTTTGTGCCTCTTTCAAAGTGGCACAGTGGGAACCGATGTATCTTCAGCTACTGTTGCTGCTAAGACTAGTTAGAAGAGGTATTTGTGTCCCCTGTTGGAGGGCTATCTCTCCCCTGCTGGTCCTTCTCATGTGTAAGCTACAGCTTTGTCTTTAAAGGGCTCAGGGACAGGTTTTCAGAGCCCTCTGAATTTTGTTACATCTTTGTCCTTATAAATAAGCTCAATGAGGAAATACCCTTGTATTTCCTGGGGCCTTCACTGAATGGGACTTATGGAGAGGTATTGGGATCTACTTCAAGAGTGACTGAGGAACATTTTTTTAAAGTGTCAGAATAGAGAAAGAGGGTAAGGCTGAGAATTTTTGAGTTTGAAGCATGACTAGGACTTACTCTTCTATAATATTTGCCAAAGCATGTAGGTGTTTAAGGTTGTATCCTTTCAAAGGTAAAAGTTGTTTCCATAAAAATGTGTATTGTAAGTAGATTTTTGCTGTCACTCAGCATAAATGCTGAAATGTGAAAGATAATCTTTTACAACAGCTCTGGTGGTAATGTGACCCAGGACCTTATAGCTCCCAGGGTCACTGTCAGCTCTGTGATCAGACACAAAGAGAGAAAATATTAATGGCGTTCCTGATGAGACAGCTCTTCTTCCAATCCATATGAACTACTTCCTCTTTAGTTTGTGGAAAAACTTGTAAGAGCCCCAGGAATTGCTAGGAGGAAAAGGGCCTTTCTAAGGTTAAGAATGGTCTGTGTCTCCCAATCTTGTACATAGGATTATATTACTTTGGGAACAGTGAGATCTGCTTAAAGTGAAGGCTGCAATTTGTTTCCTTTGGTAAAAGGAGAAAGTGGGCATCACGGGGAGAAAATAAATTGGCAGAAGGCAGTGTCCCATAAAACCTCATACAATTTAAAAAATCAGAATTTGAAAAGATCTAGGTGGTCATCTTCAGTCCTTCTACCACTTCAGGAGCCAGAACAGTATCATTCCATATGGAATCCTTTTCTTGTTTTGTCCAAGCGGGTATTAAGTATCCCTAGGAATGTACTTTTCACCACTCCTGTGGGAGACAGTTCAAAACCATAGGTTTTTGCTGGCAAATCTCTCCTAAATTTTCCCTTTATAAATATTTACAATTACTTGTAATAATTTACAATTGTTCCTGTTTGCATTTTTTTTAAGACATCTACCTTCAAAATAATTTCTGTCTTTGGCTTGGGTGTTAGCTTCAAAAAAGGCTTTTCTCATAGCTGTTTTTTATCTGGACTACCTGGATCTAATTCTCTTAAAACTTTCTTTAAAGTCAGTCCTTCCAGACACTAATCTGTTTTATTGCTCCTAGCTGAACTCCTTTTGATTTATGTTTCCCTGGTAATAAGATGCTCTGAACTATATCAGTATTTGAGGCCTTTGCAGAGTTAAAGAGAATAGGAATGTCCTATTTCTGCCCTTTGATGCTCATATATCCTTAAATCACCCATGCTGTCTTGCTGGTGCTTGTTGTGTTGCAATATTCAAGGCAAAAGGTTTTCGGTGTAGTCTCAGCAATTTTGGAAACATTATACTTCAATCGTCCCTTTTGGTCCAGTGATAACTGTTATCATCATGAGCATCTTAAAATAATTAGGCTTTCGTAGAAATGACCCGTAATAAGCCTGTAGGCATAAAGGCACCTTATTTAAAAATGTATTTACTTAAACATAATACAGAATAACAACATACATTTTGAGTAATAAGATATGCCTACTGACTCATTGTGAAACTGAATGATATGGTGAAGAAAAAATGGAATTTAGACTTAGAAAGTCTGCACTGCAGGCCTGGCCTGATCACTTATGGATGTGTGGCCCAGGGCTTTCTGTTTGGTCATAGCAGATGGGTAGTAGTCATACCTACTGTGCATTGCTTCTCTGTGGGTTCTAAGAGGTAAGTTTATAAAATATTTAGTCAACTGCAAAACACTTGAAGAAACGTAAGGAACCTTACTTTTATTAAAGGCAACTTCAGGAAATTTATAACATATAGTTAATGTTTTAAAGTGGGATTAAGGGGTAAGATTAGGTGAGCCTGAGGTTTATACAGAAGGAAATAGGTAGATTTAGGGAGTCATTTGAGAGGATTGTGAGAATGTAGGGAGAATTACCTTTAAGGAATGGAGGTGAAAACTGAAGGTAGCTCATGTATGTGTGTGTGGTGATGAGAGAAGAGATCAATCTTTAGTTTTGTTATGTACTAACATTAAAATGAACTGACAGTTCTAGCTTGGGCAAAACCCCACGTTTCTGGTTAATTCATTGATATTGCTACCCTGATGTGATTTTGTTGTTGTTTCCCCTGAACTAACAATACAGTTAATACACCATGTGGCTTCTGTTTTCCAAATACTTTTTGAGCACAATAATACAACAGTATTTTCTGTTGCTTTGTAAAACCACGGTTTATGTATCACTTTGGGAGCTTCTCTGGTTCCTCCGTCCATGCAGTTAACTATTCCATGCTGTGCTTAGGCACCCTGTATTCCATGCAGCATGGTGATGACGGAGGAAATAAAAATAGGGTTGCTCTTTATTCTCCAGTAATCTCATCTCTGCCTAACTTCCTTTCTGTTCTGTGTGGTTGTGCTTTATTTGCTCTCAACAAAGAAATCTTGGGTTAATCTTCTGTTCTTAAATTTATTTTTTCCCACTCTGCCCCTATTGGTTATATATTCAGTGTGCTTTATTTGTATACCTGCTTTTTTATGACCATAACCACACCTTAATGAAGATATACATGGTTGATTATGCACCTCAAAGTCAGCTTAATATTTCTAAAATGTCGTATTCATCATGTTGCCCTTTTGCTCAAAACCCTTGGTTATTTTTGGATTCCTTGTAGTATAAGTGTATTCAAACTCAACTTGGCTTTCAAAACCTTTCACATTTCAGTCTCAGTTTACTTTTACGATGTTTTGATATACCTTTTATTAGAGCTCTGCTTGATTATTCACTGTCTACTAGAAGCACCTTCATTAGCTCAACCCCATGCCTTTGTTCTGCCAGTGTGTCGTTGCTTTGAATGTCTTTCTCTTGGTTCTGTTCAGAGCTTACCCCACCCCACCCAGTTTCTGAAGGCCCATTGCGAATGTTCCTTATTTGTACAGAACTCTTCTTGAACAGGTCATTCCACAGGAATTTCTTCTTTTCCTAGATTGTTGTTGCTTTTACTCTTCATATGTGAAGCATGGTAGATGTTCAACACATATTCTTGTGTGTATACTAGGTTACGAGCACTGTGAAAGGCCCTGGGGAAATGGAGGCAACCAATGGAGAGATGAGTGAAGACTTGCATGAAGACTCGATTCATTTTTCACCTTCAGTGAAAGTACATGCTACAAATTATCCCAAGCAAAGTTTATACTGCTAGGGTTATGTCTAAATTGGGTTTTAATGTATTTTTATTAGCTCCAAAATATGAAATTAAAACAGAGGAAAAAAGTACATGTGTGAGAGCAAAGGTTGGTTTGGTAAATCCCAGATCAGACTATGAGGATCTTGAAATTTCAGTATAGTAAAATGGAATTGGCCCTATAGGAAAAAGGAGACTGTTATAACTTCTTTACTCCATTGGAGAAGGGAAAGACACATTTTAAAAATGGACTTCCCACGACTCTTGCCCTCAGCACATATTCCCATGAAGCCCATTCTTGATGCTCATTTTTAATCATCTTCTTCATAATCTTAACCAAGTACTCTTTGGTTGTCTAAGTTGTCTTTGTTTCATGCTATACATTAAATTGACTTTATCACCCAATTTAAAGCCTTGCATTGGAACTACACTATTTTTTAATTGTATGTTTCTTTCTTGCTTTTATGTTGCCTTTTCTTGTTAGTCTAATGTAATTTCTACCCTGATTTTCTAATTCCTTTTCACAACTTTCAAATATCTTTTATCTCTATCTCCTGAAGACTTTTCAGAGAGCCAATTCTAAATGATAAACCTTAGTACACTTTGTAAACTCTAAGGTACTATACAACTACTATTATTGTTCTCTTTTCTCCGGGAAGTTTTCTCAGTTTTCATAGAGGTAAGGCAGTTCATTCTTTTTCTTTCTATTCTCATCCTATCAATCAAGACATATGGCATAAGAACAGCACAACTGCCAAAATGCATATTTGCCTTGAACTTATCCACTTTC